AGCGATAATAAAGAGAAAGGGGGTAGAGGTAGAAGGCGATACTAGGTTAAGAAGCAGAAGCGTATATAGGCTTAGAGTAGCTTTAAGGAGACGAAGCGTTTACGTAGAAGATAATATAGCCGGCGTATATAGCTAGCGTAGATAGATAGCGTATATTCCTAATATATTTCGAATTCCTAAATAGACTAGTTACTATAGTAGCGAAGCGCTTATATAGAAGGTAATATAGCCGCCGTATATAGCCGGTATATATCCCTAATATATTTCGAATTCCTAAATAGACTAGTTGCTATAGCAACCTACCCCGCTTACCTACTAACTATTTCTAATTCTCTATTCGCTCTTCTTCTTCTATTTCCCTTTCCCTATATTCTTAAAGACAAATATACCTTAAGGATTCGGCTCTTCGGGCCTTACTAAGTTAGCCGCCTTCCCTTCCTTTAGCGACTATATTATATACAAATCTAACGAGGACCTACTAAGACGGTTTAATAGAAGACTTTTTAATCTAGAAGGTAAGAAGTATAAATATCTCTTTACGATTATAGGCTTATTACTTTTCTAGGTTCTAGTAATATACCCTCGTCGCCTAAATATATATAAAGATACCTTTAGAGGCTAAAGAGTAAGGGTAAAGCAAGCTAAGTATAAGAAGACTATAGCGAGAACGAGATATCGGAAGAGTAAGACTATCTATAGTATATATAACGGAAGGGGGTCCCTCGGAAAATAGTACTAAAAAACAAGAAGGCTTTAGGTAGATAGAAGAAGGCTAAAGTAGCTAAAAATTTAAAAGACTAGGCGGACGAAGACTATCGCGAAGAAAAGTTATTCTTCTATTAAAAAAAAGGGTAAAAGGTAGGTCTCGACGATAAAGAAGCGGCGCTTTAAACTAGGTACTCTTACTCTTCGCTAGATCCGGCTATTCTAAGATAAAAGAGGGACCGAGCTTTTAATCCCTAAAACTCCCTTCTAGCGACTCGTCCGAGGAATTATATTAGATATTTAGTCTAGTATACAATTTATAGCTAAGGCGATTAGTACTCTTTAGGAAGCTATAGGGGCATTTCTCGTAACCGAGTTTAAGCTTTTAAACCTCTTTACTATCTATACGAAGCGGGTAATATAAAGATATATAGCTTCTAGCTAAAATTCGGCGTTAGTTTATAGCGGATTAATTAGAATTATTTAGTCGTTAGATTAACCTAGGAGGAGGCCTATTTTCGTATCCTTTTACGAGCTATAGGTCCTAGCTAGATTTCTAATTTTATCTTCGCGCCGTACCTAAATCTAAGGTACGAAGTAGAAACCTAGCGCACTATATTTACTCGGCTATTATAGAGACGAGTTATATTTAGACTAGTTTCTTCGTATATCGCGACCTAGCGGATAGTAAGCGAAAGGGCGATAGGACGTTTATAACACGTCTCTATTTAGACCTAAAATATAAAAGTCCTAAGGAGCCCTAGTATTCTAACTATAAGGAGATTCTTTAGTTTTAGTACTCTAATTCTATATACTACGAGGTAGATAGTAAGCCTACGAGAGAGAAACTTTAACGAGAGATTCTTTATAATAGGTAGCGCTATTATATAGCGGTAGATACGTACTAAGTCCGGTAACTCGAAGAGGAATTAAAATAGCTACCGAGGAGGAGATCGATAGTATCTTAGTAGAGTCGAGGTCTTATAAGCGAAGTGCGAGATAATATAGGCTCTTAGTTATTTAGAGTAACGTACTATATAAATAACTAGGCGTACTACTCTTATTTACTTACGACCTACATCCTAGAATACTCTTCTCGTACTTTTTAAATACTTTCTAATACCTTACCTATAAGCGCTCCGTAGTAACCGAGTAAACATAAGCTATAGGGTTTCCGCTCGATACCTTAGCCTCCGAGATAGGGTAGAGTTAAATTTAGAGCGATAGCCGGCATACGTAGCCGGTATATAGAGACGGTAGTAGGCCTCTTCCTACTAAATAGCTAGCTTGTTTAGTATAGCCTACCGTAGTATAGATATTTCTTATATTTCCTAGTAAAAGGCCTAGGTTACTTATAAGATTACTATAGCTAGTAAGGGAATTACTAAAGAATATCTACACTATAGTAGGATACTATTATTACGCCGACTATTTATTAAAAGGACGCTTTCGCCTATTACTATACTAGCTATAGGTACTAGCTATATTTTAAAGTTTGCCGTACCTACCTTTTTTAGCCGTACCTACCTTCTTTCCTTACTCTAACGTTACTATAATATAGACTTACGCGACGCTTACTCTATTACCTAGCGATACCGCGATACTATCTCCCTCGCTATATATAACCTTCGTATCGATACCTATATTTCTACGCTCTATATCTACTACCTCTATAATACCCTCGCTCCGCGCGCGCCTTCGTATATAGTATACCTTCGTAACGTACTTTTTTATTAATTCGACGACTTTTATAATACCGAGTCTACTTAACTAAGTTACGACGACTTATAAGAAGGGACCTACTACTTCTACGGCCGGTAATAAGACCCGAAGTAGTAGAATAAGTATAGTATATTAACGTAAGAAGGCTGCTACTACTACCGCTAGCTCTAGTACTAGAAAGAGCGTCGCGGGCAAGGCTCCGCGTAAGACGATAACTAAGGCTTTATATAAGACGACGACTAGCGCTTCTACTACTAGTAGTAATAATCGTACGAAGCGTCGATAGCGCCTAGGAAGTAAGTCCTATCTATAGCCGGTAGCGTAGCCGGTAGCGTAGCCGGTATTCTTACTATTCTTTTACTAATCCTTCTTTAGCCGTAGCCCTTCGTTAGATTCGAATATATTAGAAGGATACTAAACTCCTAATCCGTAAAGCTTCGTTTTAACGACTTTTTCGCGAAATTGCCTAGTATATTATACGGGACCTTCGCTTCTAAGCCTCCGTAATAGACGCCCTTTAAGAGGCTTTAGAAGCCTATCTAGTTCGTATCTTTAGATATATATTTCTCTTCTACCTCTTTTTAAACTATACTAATACTATTTTAGCGGTTAACCTTATAGCTATCTACGCGAAGCGTATTACGATTATAGATAAGGATTTGAAAGCCCTTAATTAGATTCTTAAAGGCTAGAATATCTATATTCGAGATAGTACTAGGTAGGATAGATATTCTAGTAGGAAGGATGTTCTTAGTATTATCTATAAGCGTTTCTATATACGAAATAAGCCGCTATTATACCGCGCTATATACCGCACTCTAAATACTCTCTTAGTATATATATATATATATATATATATATATAGTATAGTATACTTTATTAGCCGTACGGAATAGAAGTCTTCGAAAATCCCGTTAGTACTAAGGAGTAAAAAGGCTAGCTACGCTACCGGCTACGCTACTAGGTGTTTTAAAGAACTAAAAGAAGATAGATATTCTAGTTAATTTATATTAGTTTAAATTTTTATAAAAAGAAAATAGGGAAAAAGGAGGAAGGTTAAAGAACCTAATACTTATAGTTACAAGTATTACCCCTATTTCCTAGACTATATTATATACCTACCTTCGTAACTCTACCTAATACCCCCTCTAAATATCCTTATACTCTATCTACTAGAAATTTAACTAGGTACCTAGACCTATAGCTGCCTCTATATCTTTTACTATCTTCTATAGGTTAAAGGACTCCTTTATAGTAGCCTCTACCTCCTTATATAATACGAAGTTACTACCTACCCTACCCTTTATATCTACTAAATAACTAAGAGTTCTAAGGAACGAACTAGTATTCGGCCTTAGTATAGCGAGTAGCTAGTATAACGTAGTATAGAGCTACTTTATAGCTCTTTTATATACTATACCGATACCGAAGGAGGAGCTATCCTAGTACTTAATATTAGAGAATAGTTTAGTAGGAAAGTATAAGAACTTCTTAAGGAGGGCTTCTAGGAAAATCGATAAGTTCTACCTAGATTTAGATAAGGATATTCTACTAAGTAGTTAGGGAATTAAATAGCGAGCGAAAGGATAATATTTATACCTAATAAGTGTAGTTTCTAAACTAAACTATAATAGCTTATATATATATATATATATATATATATATACTTTTAATTAGTTAGTACCCTTAGCTAATTGTCTATAGATTTAGGGTTATATAAGTACCTTCCTATAACTAAAAAGTGCTAGCTACGCTACCGGCTATACTCTCGTATCTTGTAAAGGGCTTCCTTCGAGTTATATATATATTCTTATATTTCTTAGAAACCGATAAATTCTATAGTTCGAACCTACTACTCCTATAGTTGCTTAGCAAACTAACCTAAACTAAACTAGATCTTCGGCTTAGTAAACTAAACTAAACTAACCCGAACTACTACGGGGTCTACTATTTAGTATTCTAGCTATCGAACCTAGATACTATAACAATCGAAATAGCTAGAGGTAGTATAGAAGGTTATATAGATATATTACGTTATAGTTAGAGGTTTAGTTATATCGCTATAGGCGATATTAGGTAAAAGGAAGGATTAGAAGTTGTATTAGATAATATTCTTTATAAAAGTTAGTATTATTAGTAGAAAACTAGATTCTAGGGATTTACTTTCTAAAGCTATAGCTATATAATATTACGTCCTTATATTACTTTAGATACTAGGGACGACTTAATTAAGTATAAAGATAGTCGCTATTATTACTATAGTATAATAATACTAATACGTAGTTATATTATAATAGTAGATTAAGAATAGTAAGGATCCGCTTTCCTAAGATTAGTAGCTTTATCTTATAATCCGGCTTATATATAAATATAGTTAAATAATACCTAGAACTAGATATAATTAGCCTTATTTAATAAAAAGCACTAGTCTAATAAAGGTAAGCCTATTTAATTAAAATTAGCTAAGGAACAAGGCAATTTTAATTAAATAGATCGAAATTTGCTTAAATACAAACAGGCGATAATATAGGTAGCGAAGCTAGATACCCGATGCTTAGCTAGTCGGCATAACACTAGGTGCGATACCAGGTGCGATACCAGATGCGACACCAGGTGCAGCACCAGGTGTCGGCAGGTCGGACAAGGAGCACCTGGTGTCGGGAGTTACGTGAAGTCCTTACCACTTGATAAACAATGGTAGCCTCAAGGTCGAAGAGGAAGTCCTTCTCTACGCTTTCATACCACGCGTACAACCGTAGCCCACAGGCTGGATACTGTATTAACCGTACCGCAGACAAATGACTGTGCTCCGGCAATGGCCATTCGCACTTGATGCATCCAAATTCAAAATCATAACTGAGGACCTTGGTTAGGTTGACACCAGTTCGCTCCTTTGGATGAATGACTTTCATTCACTGTGGATTCATGGGAACTCCATGGGGGTGTATTGACGGCTATAGAGCACTACCACTTCCCTGCGTGCAGCCCTCAGATACTCCTCGCCCTCCAGTACCGCTGACTGTGCACGCTGCGCCCACATAGCCTTCTCCTCCGTGTGCATCTCGAGCACCTCCGCTATGCGCCCACCCAGCCGCTGCCCCATCATCTGCTCGGGCAATTCGTGGTGTGAGGCGGCAATGTCGAGGAATAATGCTGTCGATCCATCTTTGGCGACAGCTTCTGGCTTCTGCGTGGCGAGGAGATCCAGCCCGGGCGCTTGGTCGAGGATGCCTCTCGACATCAAACCTCGCAAGCGTGTCCCACCTGCGGCTGCGCGGAATCACAAGCCTGTTGCACCTCCGGAAAGTGGCTCATCAAAAGCAAGCTGCTAGGAATAAGCTGCTCAACCAACGAGAACTGCGTATCGATATGTCCGGTTATGTTCTTGAGCTAGCCCTCTAGATTTAGCTATAGTTGTTGATTATTGATTACTAATAATCACTAGTTACTGTAATCACATGTAACTACGATTATAATTATAGAGTAAGTAATTAGTAACTATAATTAGTAATTAGTCGGTTATTCTAAGGCAATACTAGGGTATATATTATACCTATAGAAGGTATTAAATTCGCACTATTTCCTTCTATTTCTATAGATAATAATATACCTAAGATAGGGCACGTCTATCGAGAGGTATATAAGTCGAGTATTAGTATACGAGGTCGCTAATTTAGATAGGTTGCTAAGTCTATATCTTCTTAAGAGAAAGACCTCTTACTACCGCTAGTATAGACCTCCGACTAGTTAACTAAAGCCTTCTTAGTACTATAAAGCTATTACCTATAGCTATTACTAAAGGACGTACTAGCGACTTATCTAACTCTTAACTAAACCGACTCTTATATTACTCCTACTTAGCTACACTTCTAACAAGCCGGTATACTATCCTTTATTAAAGAAGTAGTATAGAAGGACTTCGAGTAGTATATCGAAGAGGCGGAAAAGGAGGGCTTATAGTTACCGTATCGGAGGGTTATAAGGAAGACGATAAAGAGCCTTCGGTATACGTCGGAGATCGTTCGAAGGGCCGGGGAATACTAGGAGCGTATATTTAATAGTATTTAGCGAGTAAGTAAGGGTATCGACCGGAAAGGAAGGCATATAGCGCTAGGTTCTCGTCGCTACTTTAAGTTTAGTAGAAAACTATACCTCTACTTAGAAGAGTGCTTTCTCGGGCTAAAATCGTAGTATTCGATATAGTAGACGCTATTTAAGGATCGGATCGATAGGGTACTATACCGTCTAATCGATAGCGAAGGTACTACTAGCGATAGTAAGGTTGTTATTATTAATTAGGTATAATTAGTCGTAGATATTAGTATTCGAGCTTGCTATCGCATCTGCCTATTACGTTATATTAGTACTTTAGGGTCTAGCTAAGGCTAATAGATAAGCTTCGCTTAGTACGGACGGCAAGGTCCGGACGGCTTAGCCGTACGCTAGCAAACTCAAATCTCGATATTTATTGTTTAGTTTAAGACAACAATATATTCGATATACGAGATAACCTACGTAAGAAGTATAAACTAACTTAGAAAGTACTAGAAAATTACATAAATACCTAAGTATCGATATAGGAAAACGAGCCGCTAGATCGGATACTATTCTATAAAGATTCGAGCGATCTAAGCGATCTTCTATCCTCTAAAGCTAATAAAGCGCTGTCTCTAATACTAGACGAGGACACCTTGTTCCTTTAATCTTCTAATTCTATTCGGCTATCTACCTCGTAGTCCTCGAATATAGTATAGCCGATACCTACGCCTACGGTTACCGAGTTAAGGAAACGTAGAAAAGGTAGGAACTAGCTAGATCTAGCGTTATAGGCATATACGAGAGCACTAAAAGATAGAGAGCCTTTAAAGGTCGATAGAGGCAGGTATAAGGCATTCTACTATATATACTATAACGATAACAACCCTAATTAGTACGCGTCTAATTCTAGTAACGCGCCTTAGTACCTAGCTAAGAAGCACTTTATATTCGTCGGTATTAAGAAACGGAAGCTTAAAGGTACTTATAAGAAGTAGACGAAGATTAACCTCTTAGCGCTATAGAAGAAGTAAGGCTCTATTAAGTCGGACAAGACGACGAATATACTTAAAGGCGCCGCGGATAAGGACAAGTTTAGATACGCCCTCGCTCGCTTTGTAATAGCTAATAGTATCGCTTATACTGCGCTAGTTACGAAGGAATTTAAGGACCTTATACTAACGGTTAATCTATATATAGAGCAGGTTCTTCTTAAGAGCTATACTTTACTATTTCCTTGTATTCTATATAACTTCGAGAGCTAGCGAGAAGGGGTTAAACGAGCACTATTAGTAGCGCTTAGTTGTATTTACTTTTATACTAATATATAGAAGTCTTAGTATAGCTATAAGTTCTTCTAAGCCGTTAATTGCTAGTATATCAACTTATAGGGCCGCCTAGTCTAAATACTACTAGATTTGCTACAACTTCTACCTAGCTCTTATACTAGCGACTTCCTTACTAAGAGTGTCCTACCTTGCTTCTTAACCTTCGAGATAGCTAGCAAACTTAGCCAGATAACGACTAATAGCGGCTCTAACAACAATACACTTAGTGCCGCTATTAAGCGCTTCCTAGACTCGTAAGGCTACTCCTAGAAGAACCGCCGCCTTCGCTATATTAGCTATATTCTTAACTATATAACTATAGCCTTTATATTTGCTAAGGACGTAGAGGCTACTAAGAGTAAGGACTTTAACTAAGTGCTTAGTAACGATAGCGATAGCGTCTTAATCTCGAGGTAGCTCGATATAGATATTAAGTCCTTTATTAAATAAGGTCTATTGTAACGGTTATTCGCACTCGCTAAGCTTCTACGTAAGAACGACAATAATAACATCTTCTAAGAGGTCTGTAAGGCCTAGCTATAACTGCTATATATAGTACTAAAGATTCCCGGTAAAACACGCTAGAATAGCTAGCTTCTAATAATAGAAGAGGCTATTTAAACTAGGCTAATCTTAAATACCTTCTTCGATAGAATGCCGTACCTACGCGAGTTTAGCTTAGCCGACGACGACTAGAAGGTCCTTACCTATATACGGAAGTTTCTTAGTCTATTTAAAGAGGTTACTCTTCGGCTCTAAGGCTATACTATTATATTCGATATATGTTAAGAGTCTATAGAATACCTAAGAAGCTATTTCCTTCGCTTAGCTAGTAAGAATACCTACCGTAAGGTCCTTATTAGGTCTATTAATATAGCTAGAGTGCTATTCGACAAGTACTACGACCTTAACTAGAAGAGCCCTCTATATATTACTATAGTCTTGCTATATCTAAGCCGACGACTTGCCTAGCTTAGAGGCCGCTTAGCGGTAGATATAGACACTACCTTATTATAGTCTATAGCGCTTTAGAAGGACTATAAGACACGCTTCGGACGTAGCCGTTAACTACTATCTACGCTATAGCGCTTATTTAAAGGACTATCGGACCTTAAGCGCTAGCAAATTAAGTCTTAAACTAACCTAGTTGCTACTAATTAGAACCCCTTCGAAGCCTTTATTTATACTAGTCTAATAGTACTACTACTAGTTAGCCTCGAGAAGCTAGTTATAATAAGTGCTATTAACTAGTAGATTCAATAGCGGAAGACCTGCGATATAGCGTTATAGCAACTAGCTATTAATATATTATTAGCCTTTACTATATCCGCCGAGTTAGAGAGGACCTTTAGTATAAGCCGCCGTACTACTCGATAGGACCGTATACGTATAAGTAGTAACTATATTCGTATAAACGAGTACTCGAAGAACTAGATAAGAACAGGGGTTGCTAAGGTGCTATTAGAATTAGCCGTACTAGAAGAGGTAGAAGAGGAAGGACTATTACCGGACTTATACTTAGTCTTAGGCGCTATCGACAGTAACGACCGCCTATAGATCTACCTCGTTTTTAACCCTAAGTATCACTATAGGTACTAATTATATAATTACGTGATTATAATTACTAATTACTCACTTATTATTGACTATAATTATGATCACAGCCGCTGACTAGTGAGTACTTAGTAATCAACTTCTATAGATTCAGCACATAAGTGCACTCCGTCAACGGCCGTGGTCTGCGGAACATGTGCTCAAGCACGCTCATCGCGAGCATAGCGAGCAACCACTAGCGAAGATGCGCGTACGCAATTATGATCGGTGTGTTATTTCGGCAGCCGCTTGTCCTTCTCGCTCTGCCGAACTCTAGCACTTTATCACCGCTGCGGAACATTTGCCCAACTACGCTTATCGCGAGCATAGCGAGAAGACCACCGGCGAACATGCTCACGTAACGTAGACATCCCGACCATGATCGGTGTGTACTTCGGGCATCCGCTTTGCCCTGTGATTCTCCTTCTCCTTCTGCCGAACTCCACCTCTTCATCACCGCTTGAGATCAGCTGAGATCGAGGAACTGATAGCCGTTGTGTCGATTGAGAATCTTCAGGTACTGTCGTCGCTCTCGAATCTGCTCGTCCTTGGAGCGGCATTCTTTTTTCGCGCGCCGCATAGATGACGACATGCTCCTTCTGCGAATTGACAAGCTGCTGGTGATGCCGGGCCTTCTGCCAGCATTGCAGCAGAAGTTTCTTGGGGCCTTACCGACTCGACTGCGAGAATTCCCCTGCGATGGCGCGCTGCAAGACCTCGCTCCCGTCAATACGCGGCTGCGCTGCCATCGTGGAGGTAGGTGTGAGCCTGCGCATGTCGATTTTCGTGAGCGCATGTTGATTTTCGTGGGCGGATGTCAATTTTCGTCAGCGCATATCGCTTTTGATGAGCGGATGTCGTTTTTCGTATGGGCGTGTAGAAGAATGCGCCAGACAATGACGCCGAGTACTTGCAGTTGCTGGGCGGCCAGGCTGGACACCTGGTGCTCGGCTCATCGGCTCGACACTGGGTGCTGTAGATCGCAGAGATCTGAGCACCTGGTGTTCGGCTCCTCGGCTCGGCAAGCAACACTGGCACTCCAAGTGTTATGGGACAGTGGCATGGTTTGGTCGCCTCGCAACGTGTGTCACGTTGCCGACAGGCGTGTCATTAAAGGACTCGACGGCGCGCGCGTTGGAAGAATGAACATAGGTAAATGATAGTTTTGCAGGTATTCAGTGTCTATGAAAGAAAATTCAGTGCATCCACAGTCCACTATGCATTCAGATTGAGACAGCTCTATCGAGGAAGGAGATAGAGTACAGGGAAGCACTACATTCTCTTCGTCTAACACAAGCTTGATGTCCTTCAAGGCCGCTGAACTGATACGGAAAAGCGATGAAGTATACTCGTCCGTGTGTTCATGTCATCAACGATGATGCCGTGCTTGATTGCGCCGTACGGGCGTGTGCGAGTTGGCCGTAGCTAGAAGATTCTGGCGGATGGAATTCTTTCGATTGAATGCAGGAACTGGACACTGAAGTAGCTCGGAGAGATCCCCTTGAGCGCGACTTTGCTCAAGGTTGCTCCGTTTTCCGGCAGCGCTCCGGACACGAGTGCAACTCCACCGTCAGATGAAGCAATTGCTGGAAGGCGTGCGCGATTGGCCTTGCCAGCTTCTTTGGCCTTGACGCAAGGGCATTCCCTCTTGTCGTTGGCGCCGGCACAGTCTGACTAGTCCTGTTGCACAAGATACACCTGCCTGCGAGCTTGCGGGCTTCCTCCTCTTCCTAACGCTTCGAGGTAGTCAATGGCGCAGATGCCGATTGGAAATGGCCGGTGGTGGGGTCACGGCCGCCGCAATTCCGGAGTCGCGTTGACCGAAGCGGGTGTTTTTGCTGTTCGCGGCGCGGCAGCAGGTGCTCTAGAAGAAGTGCCGTTTCGCGTCGCGTTGATGTACGTGTCGAAGATAAAGCGGCCGACTGTTTGTGCTCCGCGATGCGATGGTATATGGAGGCCTCCTCGTTGGCAAAGGCATCACTGATAAGTTCATCGTAGGTCAAGTCCTCAGCCTTCTTACCAACGGGCCAGCGTAATATAGCATCCTTGAGCTCGATGTTGACACGCTCGGTGGGCGCGACGGTCAGCGCGTTATCCGTGGATTCCAGATCTCCACGATACGGCTGAACTCCGCAAAGCATCTGCCGTACGTGTCGACTTTCGAAGCTCCATCTCCGCAGGGTTGTCGCGATTCTTCTCGCCCAAGGCGCGGCGAATAGCCTTGTGGAACTTGGGCATGGTGCTAATCGATTCTGTATGCGTGATCTCGCCGCTCTTGATGAACAGTTGAAGGTCTTCTGGGCTGTAATTTCGAGGCAGCTAGTAGCGTATCCCAAGCGGCCATTCTGAGCAGGGTAGCGATCCGCATAGCGCACAAGCGTCTTCACCACCTGAGGTCCTTGATGAAAGACTCAACTTTCTCATAGATCTATCCCGCTTCGAGACTTCCACCTTTTCAGACTTTTCATGAGACGAGGAACGGCGGCGAGGGCGGCTGCGGCGATGGGATCGAGTACGAGAGACACTCCCGCCGGAGTTGGTGGCATGCAGAGATTGCTGAGCATCGAGCACTGTTCACGGATGTCGAGGTTCTCGCTTTGTGCTGACAGCAACACCAGCTCCTGACACCGTCACAATCATTGGGAGTCGCTGCGGCGAACCGGAGGGTGTTGGTCGTATCATTCGCGGTGCGGAGGTCGTCAGAGGTGCGTTCGGCATTGCCAGTGGAGATGAAGAAGAGGTTTGGGGTGTCTGGGATACGATGGGTGAGTTCTCGCTGCTGCAAAAGGTCGGCGTGAGGGCGGGTGTCTCCACCAAAGCCGCGGATATGAGGCGAAAGCTTCCTTCGCTCACACTTTGTTGGCACACGGAGCCGCCCAGCTTTCCCGGCTACTTTCACTCACAGGACCAATGCCAGCTTGCTTTCCGCCTACCCTCTCAAACTTGTGAGTGACAGGTTTCAGGATGCACGAACTGCCACACGCATGGCGGTTTCCTGGCTCTGGTAAGCTACAGGATCGATGCAAACATGCTTCATGCCTACCCTCTCAAACCTGTGAATTACAGCTTTCAGCATGCAGGAACTTCCACAGGTACGGCGATTTCCCAGCTCTGTTGACGTTCAGGTTCGATGCTGGGCTGCTTCACGCCTACCCTCTCGAACCTGTGAATTACAGATTTCAGCATGCAGGAACTTCCACAGGCACAGCGATTTCCTAGCGATGTTGACTTTCCGCTTCGATGCTGGGCTGCTTCACGCCTACCCTCCCAAACCTGTAAATCACAGCTTTCAGCGGGCAAGGACTGCCACAGGCACAGTAGGTTCCCGCCTATGTTGACTGACAAGTCGCAATCTGTGACAAGAGACTCCGTGCCCGAAGCCATCGACAGCAGCACCAGCACCAGCACCAGCACCAGCACCAGCACCAGCACCAGCCCCAGCACAAGCACCCGCGCCATCACCACCACCACCACCACGAGATTACGAGAAAGAAGAAATCAAGAGCCTCGCCTCGCCTCGCCCCGCCACCATGTCTGCCTCTGCCTCTGCCTCCGCCTCTGCCTCCGCCGCATCCTCCTCTCGCCCGGCCGGCCCCCTCCCGCCTGTCCTGGAAGAGGACATGTTTTTTGCCCGGCTTTCAGCCACCATGAACGAGTGTCGCGACGACGAAGCTCGCATCGCCGTTTTGGAACGGCATATTTCCTCGGTTGTGCGCCCGTTGATGTAAGAGAGTGACAGCCGAAGAATGATTTCGATTGCATTGAAAGACGCTTGCTTACCTGGATCGCTGTACAGGGCCGCAGATTTAAACCTGCATGCCTATGCCAGGTACTACCAAGCTCGTTTCCCGGCGCGTTACGAGCATTTTTACAATCGTTTTGCATGGAACACGGAGCTTCGTGCTCAGTTGGATATGGTCTCGGGCCAGCTGGTGAAGCAGCAGGAGAAGGTTCCATTTCTATGCATCTGCATCACCGTCTGAGACATGCTTGTTAACATGGACATGTAGGTCGAAGCCATTAGAGAGAACTGGCCTGGTTGGGACTGGAAGCTTTCCGGTCATCAGCATGACTGGACTCCGGAGTTTTTCGGCACCAGGATGCTGGACGGTCTGCGATGGATTGCTCGTCGGACTGACGACTATGCCGGAGTAATGACCCGGCTAATCGAGATTGGTCGCGCGAGAGTTCGGGACCGCACAAATGCTTTTGGGCAGTCGAAAGATGCCCGCCTCCAGCCGGCCGATGTGAAAGTCCTTGTGGAGGAGATGAAGCAGCTGGAGGCTGCTGAAGCCACTCCTCCTCCTCCTCCTCCTCCTCCTCCTCAGAACCGCCGCCGCCGCCACCCCAAGATCCTGACTGCCGCCAAGGAGGCATACCTGGCGCTGCATCAAAATGATCAGCCCAGATCTGAGGGCTCGATCGAGCAGGGCCGCGCCAGCGACGATGCCGGCTTGCTGGAAGAGACTCTGGGCGCTGTCTCTCCTCGCCCCTCGCCCCTCCCCTCCTCGCAGCCTCTCCCTGGATCTTCGACTTTCCGCTCCTCCTTGCGCCGCTCCTCTCCGACTCCCCGCTCTTTTCTGCCCTCCTCTCCGCCTCTCCCTCCCGCCTCCTCTCTCCGCGGGTCAAGCCCTGGCCGGCGTAGGCCTCGCCAGCCCAATGGCCCGCCTCATCTCCGCCGTCTTGGGCGCAGTTTTCTGCGTCAACTCCGACGCCAAGCGGAGCTCGAGGATGCCGCCATCCTGGCCGAGCGCGACATTTTGGCACTTGGCGAGCTTATGCGGCAGCGGCGGAATACGGCAGCCGCCATCAACCACCACCAGCAGCTCATCAATGCTCTGGATGGTCACCTGCGCCATTGGCGTTAGGTCCTCTCTCTCCCCGTCCCTGAGCAAGACGCAAAACTATGCCGCTCCGCAGAGATAAACTGCGTAAACAAAGCACCTTTACGACGTGCTTACACTTTGACGAAGTGTAGAGGCTCAGTATCTTGGACTCGACTGTCCTGGAGAAGCTAAGATAAGCACAACCAACCCTGGCCACACCATTCTTGGAGATCGAACGACGAACCTTTTGCGTTGCAAAACCATTCTCGATAACAATAAAAGCCTGACTTTCCGGCATGAGACACCAGACCCAGAGCAGCGTTCACAATTTGGAATCACACACAACGACAAGGAGAGATCAGCTCATATGCGTAAGCAATCATGACACCTGGCTGCCAACAATGACCACTTCAGCTTCTGGAGTGAGAGAGAAGATAATTTGAGCTTCGAGAGAGCGAGAGCGAGTGAGAGACTACACCAAGAGCGTCTAGCATTGCAACAGCAGAAACATCGATGCGACAGGATGAGCGTGAATCACTACCGCGCTCGAATGGCAACAAGAGCAGCCTCCAATGCCAGAGAGAGACGCTGAGTCGGAGCGTGTGGCATTCTTCTTCGGAGACAGGAGTCTGGCGGGAGTCGAGACCAACATTGCCCCAAATGCAAACTTCAATACAGCGAGGAGATGAGCTCAACTGGCAACGATGACAGCCTCCTATCGTAGATGGTGGAAGACCCTGCAGTGAAGCGTGTAGCATCATAGTCGGGAGACAACATTCTGGCGGGAGAGTTCAGATCAACATTGCGCCGAACTCCAATCTCGATACTGCGATGAGACGAGCTCAGCTTGCAAGCTCTTGCATGGAGCACACTTGGTCGATACCATCCGTACGAATCCGAATGAGGCACCACCACAGAACTGCAGTGTCCTGAACCAAAATACCAGACCAACAGTGTCATCAAGGATTCGAGTCCTGCGACAACGACGGGATCATTGCAGCTTAGAGACTGTTGGCTGTCAAATCCAAGTTCGCATTCATTTGCCGAACAAAGCTCGCGTGGGAGGGAGGAGTGCGACACTTGCTGGCAGCGGATACAATGCGAAGTACTACTCGCTTCCGACACTCGTGGCCCATGACAGAAACTCTTCATCCAGCAGGCTTGTGCTTCGGTTCTGACTCTTGTGGCCAACGACAGACACTCTTCGTTTGGCATGCTTGTGCTTGGTGGTGATTCAGACTCGGATGTCGGGACTGAAGAGAATGCGGAAGAGGATGGAGATGATGGTGATGGTGCATGGCTCGGTGGCAGCCTGAAAGCAGGGAGTAGCTGGCAGCTGGCGACAGGACAAACGGCCGGCGACAACGATGGGCATTCATTGATTGGCAGACCTAACGATGTTCAGCAACGCCGGTTCGCGGATCGAAGCATGATCGGGAATGGCTTTCTTCTTCAAGACCTCCAGCAAAACTTCTCGGTGGCCGTGTGCGAAACAAATCAACTCACTTGATCTCAGTCGCCGAGAGAGCATGGATTCGTGAGCGGTAGCGAAATGTCCAGTCATGCCCGAATTTCGATTCGCGATGGCATATGCTGCATTTCCACGACAGTCAAGTCAATATGCTGAATGCAAGCAAGCATACGGCACGAAAGCACCATTGGCGTTTCTCGAAGCTCTCTGAGACTTTACCGACACCAAGGCTCTATGGGAATGATGAATGTCATTAATGACGCCGCGGAGATGACACGCGCGAGCTCCCGAATTTCGACGTACCCGCCTTCCCGCCTTCCCTCCACCGCAACCTCAATCCTGCCGCTTCCGAAGCTGCTCCAAGAGCGCACACTCCACGAACAACACTCATCGATGTTCGTATCCGCAAACGCAATCACCAACCCGACCGACCTTGCATCCCAAATCACGCGGAATCAATCACAAATCCCAAGTCCGCGCGTCATCGGCAGTCAAGGAATCCACGTCCCGATTTCCACCGCGAGCGAGCGACGACACCAAGCTTGCTTCGACTACGACTTCGCCTCGGCGAGCCATCCATTATCCAGCAAGCATGTCGAAAGCAAAAACGCCCATCAACAACAACAACAGCAGCAGCGATATTTTCTGTAACCCGCCCACGCCAACGCCAACGCCAACGCACCTCACAAACCCCACCTCAGCAATAGCACAAGCCCAATCTCTCCAACAAGGCCCCGACCTCACAAGCTTCTACTCCCACCTCCTCCGCGCCTACGAAGAACATCGAGATCTCTTACTTTTGATCAAGACCAATACAACCACCACCACTACCACTACACAGGTAACAACGACGAACATGGTGAGGTTCAAGAGTTTGGTGAAAGAGATGGAGGTTTGTGTGGAGCAGATGCGGGAGGAGGTGGAGGGGGTGTTTGAGAGGGTGAGGGATTTGGTTTGACAAGATTTCTCGATAGGGAGAAGGGATGGATGGTCGAGGAAGGGAAGGGAAGGGTAGAGAGGAGGATGTTTGTGCATGAAGAGGGCGTGAAGGAGTAAATCATAATGAAGAGACTACTTGAATTACATACCATACCAGAAGAATCGCTCTCTCCCTCTCTCTGCCAGAACGAGCATTCTCCGGTTACCATCGACCATCCACTCGCTGGTCTTTGCTTCCTTGCCGATTCTAGAACCTTTGCCTCTTTCTTTGTCAATTCGTTACCCCGCTTCCATCTCAAATCGAGGTATCGAAGCAGTATCAAGATCGACTATTGGCAACAAGTGAACTCGGTACAGATGCCATCCCATCCCATCCCACTCCTTCTCATTTGCAGATAGAAGGATCTTATTCTTCAAGTTCGATTCGATTCGATTCGCTACCCTACACTAGGGTCTGCAGACTTCTTCCTTCAGTTCCGAGTAGACTCGGTGTTCCAGCATCCCATAAATCCCATCTCCCTCAAAGACAAGTAGTATCTCGGTTACTAAATTCCCCCTCGTGAAGTCTCACACACATTCTCATGTCTCAATCTCCATCCATCTCCCTATCTCCTCCCCACTCATCTTATAAATCCAACCTCTCAATCCCCTCCAACAACCTCACCACCTCCCCGCGGCACTCTCCACTCGCATTGCGATCCTTGTAAATCGCAATCAAAAACCCCACTGCACTCTCCTTTCTCATCCTCCCACGTCCATTCCCCATCACAATCGGCATTGTCACGAAAACTCCATTCTTCTTACCAAAACGCTCTCGTCGCCCAGAACGAGATTCAGAACTCATCAGCCATGCAGTGTTCGGTGTGATAGGTGCTGCCACTGTGTGTGGTGTTGCGGTGGGGAGTGGACAGATAGCCGAAAGGTCGAGAAAGGATTCGTGCGAGTCGGCGAGGTGGAGGGATTGGAAGTTTGGAGAGTAAGACCAGGTTTTTTCGAGGGGGATGAGTATGGATGGGTGGTGCAGGGAGCGGTGAGGTGTTGATGATTGCTGGATCTCATGCGGTGTAGAGCATTGTGGTGTTTGGAGGATAATTGGGAGGATGGTGGAGTGTAGGATGAATGGGAGCAGGTAGCTGAAAATGAACCATGTTGTTGCGGGGAGCGCGTGATGGATGATAAAGGGCTCTAGGAGCGTAGTGTCTGAGAGGAAGAAGTGATAGAGACAGGTGACAGCGATGTTGATGGCGAGGGAGATGGGTCCGCTGTCCTTGGCAGGCTTGTTGTCATCGTCACCATCGGCGGGGAAGGAATCTTCAGCCGCACGCTTTGATCGTTGATAGGCTGCCGAATGAGCTTTCGACTTTCCACGAGAAGGACGTGATTCTGATTGTTGATTGATGATCTCAGCTTCCTGCAATGGGCTAGGAAGGAATCTGGATTTTCCATGAGAAAGACGTGTTTCCAGTGGTTTGCTGATGTCTTCGGGAGCCAAATCGGCCACCTGCAACGGGGCTGAAAGAAATCTGGGATGTCCACGAGGAAAAGGTGATTCTGGTTGTTGATCGATGTCCGCAGCTTCCCGCAGTGGAGTAGGAAGAAATCTAGATTCTCCACGAGAAAGACAAGCTTCTGCTCGTTGATTCATGTCCTCGGGTGCCAAATCAGCTTCGTGCAATGGGCCAGGAGCGGATATCCGAGGCACACGACGCCGGAGCTGCTTCTCTGGTTCATGTTTGGTGTCAAACGCAGTGAAAAGGGAGGTGGCAAGCTGATCTGCTCGGGATAGGCTTTCCATCTCGGAGGTCGCCTCGAGCTCTTGGCCAAAATGTCTCTTGGTGTCGACAGCGGTGAAAAGGGAGGTCTGCGGCTGATCTGATCGGGGCTTGCTTTCCATTGACTCGCGCTCTTGGTCAAGATGTCTCTTGGTGTCGAGCGCGGCGAGAAAGGAACTGCCTAGCTGATCTGATCGGGGCATGCTTTGCAGTGACTCGCGCTCTTGGTCAAGATGGCTCTTGGTGACGAGCGCAGTGAAAAAGGAGGAGCCTGTGCCTGGCTGATCTGGTCGGGTTTCCCGTTCCTTCTCCAACTTCAGGGCGGCATCGAGCTCTTGGTCAAGATGTCTCTTGTTGTAGTTCTCATCCTGGCCACTCTTCCATCTGTCCTCGATGCTTTTCTTCTTCCTGCTGATCTCATCACTCTCCTCAGAGGAGGCACTGCTGGCCTTCTTGAGGTTTGGAATGTAATCCTGCCAATCTTCCTCCACGCTGCTTCGGTGCTGATCTTTCTCCCCGACTTCCTGCTTGCCTGCCTCCTTGGAGAAGAGATTTACGCCTTCCGGGGTGGATAAGCTGCGCTGGGTGAAGCCAGACTGGTATGGAGTCGTCTTCGGCGAAGGTGGCCCGCTATTTGTGCCACGTGTGGTCGTGTCAAAACCATGTCGTCGGCTCTCTGGTGGTGTTGCACTCTTGCTTCTCTTGAAGAAAGGATGCATTGTAGGATGTGCAGTGCAGCTGGACTGGCGGTAACAGGAGGAAGCACCTTCGAGGATAAAAGCAAAGAGGGAGAAGGCGTTCCGTTAATATAGATGGGCGAAGCATGCTTCGCTGAAGTGGACTGCGTGCTTTGCTGGCGATGATGAAGCGAGTGAGCATGAAAAGCAAGCACATGGGGGAAGCATAGAGAGGAAGCATAGCGAGGAAGCATGAAGCGAAAGCATAGCGAGGAAGCATGAAGCGAAAGCATAATGAGAAGGCGTGAAGCAAGCGTTGGTGAATGTGCGATACTATACTGAAGCTACACAAAGTCTTCATTCATAGCAGTGTCTTGGTGTAGGCGATGGTGCTGTCAACAATGCGGCCATCGGTCCTGTCGAGTTCGGGCACGACGTCTTGTTTGACGATAGTTCCTGGTGCGGGGTTTCGGGCGAAAAGCAAGAAGTATATGGCGAGAAAGATGGTGAGAGCCGAGAAGATGGCGGCGTAGAGGAGGTGTTGTTGATGAGTCGTGGCTGGAGGTGGAGGTGGAGGAGGTGGAGGTGGTGGAGGTGGTGGAGGTGGCCCTCGAGGTCTGCGCTTTGGTGGCATGGTCGTGGGCGTGGGCGTGGGCGTGGGCGTGGGCGTGGGCGTGGGCGTGGGCGTGGGCGTGGGCGTGGGCGTGGTAATTGATGATTGATGAAGCCGGGAGAGAGAGAAGCAGTATTTGTGTCTCGTTGAGTTGCGTGAATCACCGTTGTCTTGGCTACAGGCTTCGCGTGGATCGTGTCTTGGTCTCAGTCGCGCTGCGACAGACACAATGTGACGCACTCACCAGCCAACTGGACGGCAATATCAGCTTCCCCTTTCCACGTGCACCTGTAAAGAAGAAGCAGCTTCGTATTGTATGCACATCGTCCTTCATGTATAGCGGCATCGTCTTCCCCTCCCCCACACTCTTGGCAGCAGTTGCACCTCCTATCATGAACATCTCTGCCGCTGACCGCGCCATCTTCAACGCCTTCAGCACATGGTGGACCGAATTCTACGACCTGCTCCTCGCCTGCGACGCCGATGCCCATCACTTCGCCATTGTCACCACCACCAGTATCGCCACTCATGATGATGCCGTGACCCAGGTCCACGCGTGGCATCGCGAACACGAACCTCCGCCCGCCGACACCGCCAGCGAGCTCTTTCTCGCCCGCCGTGTACCCGACATTCCACCACACACCATCGCATCCAACACCATCTATCTCTCCGCCCGCGCAGCAATCGCAGCCATCCTCCACAACAATATCGACAACTGGCGCCTTCGATGGTCGAGGACCGAACATGCCTGGCAATTCGACATCCAGGTCTATGAATCACAGAACCTCCTCCAAAAGTCCTTTGACAAATGGTATCCCCACGCCCTGCAAGACCCAATGCGCGTGAAAAGAGCTGTAGAGGACATGGAGGCCGAATACAGACGCAAGTTGGAGCAAAGGCGCGCGCTGCTTCGAGCCAAGATTGAAAGCACAGTAGCTCGCTGGGAAGAGTCTGTCCATCGCCAAACATCTGTCGCGCATGAGACTGCGGACGACGAGCACATCGCGCTCCAGACCCAAGCAAAGCCGGTACACCATCGCCAGATGTCTGTCGCGAATCCCACTTCGGCCGCGCCCCATACTCAAGCACAGCCGGTCAACGATCGCGAGACATCTATCGCCAACCCGAATCAGGCAGCGCACCAGACTCCAGCAAAGTCGGTCGACAATCGCACCATATCTATCGCCAATTCCACTCCCACTCAGTCGGTTGACAATCGTGCAACAACACCTGTGGCGAACGAACAGACCCAGCAGCCGCCACCACAGACCATCAGCGCATGGCTCTGGGAAGCTTTCGAGTCTCTCATCCCGCCCCCAGCGACCACTGCTGTACCACCACAGACTATCAGCGCATCGCTTTGGGAAGCTTTCGAGTCACTCACCTTGCGCCCAGCGATCACGTCTGCACGAACACGCCGAAGAGCTGCGCAACAACAAGCTCTACACGAGAGCGAGTCTCCAAGAGGCTGACACCGAAAACAAGAAAGACTCGAGCGCAGGCAGGCAGGTCATGGACGAAAAGGTGGGTGGAGAAGCGCCACGATCAATCAACACACTTCGAGACAACAGCTCGGCAGGCCACACGGATGATTTGAAGCATTCTACACGCGCTCTTGACGACAAGTCGGAGCAGAGCTTTGGCGGGAGGGATGGACAGGACGGATCGATTCGACATCTGGCAAGTTGGCAGCTGAAGAGATGGAAGTGTGGAACTTGCAAGGCTGATGATCAGCAGGAGCCGGAGCTGGCCATAGCGGGAGGGGTGTGCAAAACAAATCGGCATCTGGCGGGTTGGCAGCTGAAGAGATGGAAGTGGACTTTGCAAGGCTCGTGGATGATCAGTAGGAGCTGGAGCTGGTTATGGGGCGATGATCAAGGCCCACTCATTGTTGGGCAGTGATGAGAGTACAAGTAGATCGAACAGCACAAGATCCGTGAAACGCTTCATTTCCCTGGCGCACCGTTCCCTCAAACCCCCCGACAAACCCAAAGAAGGTGGCCTACATTCTCGTCGCTGACCTGAGGTATGGCACTGGTGACTTTGTTCTGTGTCAGCCGAAGGACCCTTGACATCATCGCAAAAGCAAATGGAGCTCTCTCGAGAAGCCGTCTTTGAGAAACCTGATGGGTAGGAAGTACGATGAGAATCTCAACGACAAAATGAGCCCCGAGGCCTTTCCTTCGGCAAACCAGGCCAACAAGAAAGGCGCCGCTGGAGAATCATCCGCGCGCTTTTCGCGGCTTTTCTATCCACTCCTCCTCATCTCTGAGGATGTCCGCAGTGACTTGGGACTTTCTCCTCGATGACTGAACACGTATCACACGCAACTGGAAGCTTCTCCATGACTGGCGCATACTCGTGAAGTTCAAGTTCACAAGCCGCCGCGGACATCCTCAGCATACCAATGCTGAGCTTGCCGTATATCCCATCCCACCCACACCGTTCCTGGGCATCATGTTGGGAAAAATCGAGGACCCAAGGTCAACAAGAAAGACATCGCTCGAGGTTCACCAGCGCGCCTTTTCGCGGCTTTTCCGCCCACTTTTCTTTATCTCCCACAGTCTCCAGCAGTGACTTGGAATATTCTCCTCGACGACTGAAAGTGGAGCTCTTCTTCATGACTGGGCGCATCGCCACACTTCGAGAAGTTCACAAACCGCCACGGACATCCCTCACTATACTATGGCTGTGCTTCCCACGCCGTTTGTAGGCACCATATTGGACAAATCGAAGGCGCACAAGGTCAACAAGAAAGACGTCGCTCGCCCTTTACCCGCGCGCCTCTCGCGGCTTTCTATCCACTCCTCTTCGTCTCCTATAGCTGGAAATCCAGCTCTTCCTGACTGGTGCATCACATCATTACCCTTGGTGAAGTTCACAACCCGCTACGGACATCCCCAACCACACCGGTGATTGCTGTGTATCCCACCGACGCCGTTATTGAGCATCGTGTTGGTGTCCGAGTGTGAATTTCACAACCCGCCACGAACATTTTTCACTACATCAGTGCTGACCGTGTCTCCTATCCCACCTGCACCGTTGCTGGTGTCCACCATGTATGGTACTGAGGTGCTCAGTGATTTCAGCTCTTTTCCTCATTCATCGGTATCGAGACTCGCCGTTCGAGATGCTATCAGGCCCCAGGAGAGAGCGTCCTGTTCAAATCCTGGTGAGAGCGGGCCAAAACCGGCAAGGCACTGGCAACCAAGGAGATTGCAACCAAGACAATGGGCAACACTGGCAAGGCACGAACAGCTAAGAAGACTTCAACCAAGACAGAGGCGAACACTAGCAAGGCAATCCTCCCACTCACATCGCTACTGGTGTCCGCCATGTTACCGAGGTGCTCAGTGAGCTCTTTTCCTCATTCATCAGTGTCGAGACTTGCCGTTCGAGGTGGATGAAGCTCCAGTTGGTACGGAGAGAGCGTCGTGTTTTCATATTCACGAGAGCGGGCCAACACTGGCAAGATACCGCCAATCAAAAAGACTGCAAACAAGAAGACTGCGCCTATGACAAAGGCTAGCAGTAGCAAGAAACCACTGGCAAGACACGAAACACACCTGCTACTCCCCCAGCTATTGAGGACAAGGCACAGGCAACCAAGAAGACTGCAACAATGACAAAGGCCAACGCTTGCAAGGGATCGGAAGCCTAGAAGACTGCAAGCAAGACAAAGTCCAACATGGCAAGGCACCGGTAGCCAAGAAGATCGCAACCAAAAGCCAGCGAAAAACACCTGCTGCTACCCTACCTGTTGAGGAAGACTGCACCCAAGACACTGCCAAGGCAAGGCACGAAAGACACCTGCTGCCGCCCAAAATGTCGGGCAGAAGGCACCGGCAACGAAGAAGACTGCGACTAAGACAAAGGCTAGCACTAGCAAGACTATAGCTAAGACAAAAGCCGATACTAGTGTTATAGATAAGCGATAAAATAATAGAATTGCTTGCTTTTTAAACAAAGGACTCACTAGATACTTATATACCCTAACGCTAAGAATTCTAAGCTATTTCTAACCCGTAAGTAAATAATCCTAAAGATTCTATCTCTTCCCTCTTACTTATAAATCTAACTAGCCTCGTATATTCTCGAGTATTCTAATACTCCCTCTACTTAGCTATATAGTCGTAAACTAAATAGCTAAGTCCTAATCCTTCTTAATCGTTCTTATCTCTAAGACTCTTTTTACGTTTTCTTCGAACTTCCCTTTCGTTAGGGGTTTAGTAAGGAAGTCCGCGAGTTAGTCCTTTCTCGAAATATACTTTATATCTACTTGTTTGTCCTCGAATAGTTTCTATAAATAGTATACTACTACGTCGATATATTTCGTTCTAGTATAAAATTCGGGATTTCGTACTAAAAGCGATAGCCGCCTTCTTATCCCCGTAGATAGTCGTAGGTTCTTTAAAGTTGTCTTCCGTAAGATATCCGACTTACTTAAGGAAATTCTAGATCTAAATAGCTTCCTTTACGGTATAGGATAGCGCTAAGTATTCGGCCTCCGTAGTACTAGTCGTAACGGACCTTTATAGTTTAGTAGACTAAGATATAGGTCCTCCGGCTAATAGGGAAATATATCCTATCGTTTACTTCCTAGTCGAGTCCGCCGCGTAGTCCGAATCGGTATAAATAACCGGTAGACGAGTAACTAAAGGACTCGTATCGTTTTCGTTCTTTAGGATAGGACTATACTTTATATAGTACTCCCGGGTATTCCCTAGGTATCTAAGGCCGTAGATACCTCCGTCGTAATATCTCCTAGCCGGATTTACCGAGGATTAGCTTAGTCGTTACGTTAGAAAAGATATATCCGGCCTAGTAGCTCGTACGGTCTAGTCTAGTTTCCCGATAAGTCGTTAGTATTTCTAGACGTCTACTACCTCCTCGTCCTTTATAATAGGTAGTAGATTCGCGTATCCGTTTGCCGGAGTCGATACTCGGAAGGTTTCGTCTAGATCTAAGCCCTCTTCTCTAAGCGTATTTTCGATATAGTGCCTTTAATCTAGTAGTATAGACTCGTCGGCTTCTCTCTCGATTCGTATATCTAGTATAAACTTAGCGGGACCTAGATCCTTTATTTCGAACCTCTTCGTAAGCCTATCTTTTAGCGGTTTAACCTCCGTTTCTATCTTCTCTAGTATAATAAGATTGTTAACGTATTACGCGACTCTTATCGTATAGTCGCTATTAATAAAGACCGATTAATCCGCGGATATAGCGTAGAGATCGTACTCTTCGAAGAAAGCTATAATAGTCTTATTCTAAACTCGTCTGGATTGTTTTAGTCCTAGTACTCCTTTTAGGAGTTTAAGTACTTTATTTATTTCGGGAATATCTAGGCCCTCCGGGATAGCTAGATAGACTTCCTCTATTAGTTCTCTAAGTAGATAGGCACTTTCTACGTCTATTAAGAATATAGTAAGTCCTTTACTAGCGGCGATAGCTAGGAGAAGGCGTAGGCTCTTAAGACGTATTACCGGCAAGAACGTTTTAAAGTAATCGATTCCGTAGCGTTATATAAAGCCCTTTCCTACTAATCTCGCCGTAAATTTGTCGATTTGTCTGTTCGGTACTATTTTTACTTTAAAACCCTATTTCGGAATAATACCGTTTAATTTACCTTTTCCGTACTTTAGCTTAGAATAGTCGGTAATCTCGTAGGTATTATTAGCCGTTAAGGACTCGATATATTTTCAAATAGCGTCTTTCTATTTTCGGGAGTAAGGGCCGCTAATAGCTTCTATATAGGTCTTAGGGATAGGTATTTTAAAGGCCTTTCGATAGTCGACCTTTAGAGCTACTAGCCCTATCTCGTCCCTTCGTCTCTTTAGTACCTTAGGGATCCTCGTAGTCCTTCTTAGTCCTTCTTCGTTTATATTCGAAGCCGTAAGAGACGGTTCTCGAGTAGTTCTTTCGTCGTCGTTATTTAAACTATCGTCTTCGTCTTATAGTTTTAAAGTATTATCTTCGGGTTCGGAATCTCCCTCTACTTCTTAAGACTATCCTTTATCTAGGAGATCGATATCTTCGTTATCGTTATCCGTAATAGGCTATAGAGTAGGTAGCTCTTCTCTAGATAGTAACCTACTTCCCTTAGTCGATTCGTCGAATTTAACGCTAGTATAGATTCCGATAGCGTTTGTCTTAGGATTATAAATCCTATATTATTTCGTAGACTTCGTATATCCGACGAAGACTCCCGGAAATACTATCTTTTCTAGCTTATCTTTCCTTTTCTCTTTATTAATAAACGGATAGGCTAGATAGCCGAATACTCGTAAGTATTCTACGCTAGGCTTTCTTCTAGTATAGAGCTCCCTAGGAGTAATATCTCCTCCTTTAATAGGTAGCCTATTATATAAATAGGTAACTATATAGGCCGCTTTGCCCTAAAATCGTTTAGATAATCTAGATCCTTCTAAAGCCGCCCGTATCTTAGTTATAATAGTACGGTTTTATCTCTCTACTACCCCGTTTTATCCTAGAGTATAGGGCGTCGTTATTTAGATTCGTAGTCCTAGATAGGCCTTAAAAGCTTTAATAAGCTCCGGAGCGCTTTCGATTCCTACGGCCTCTAGTCTCCTCCTAGCTTTAAGTTCGGCCTTGTGTTTCTAAGCCTTAAAGGCTTCGTATACGTCGCTTCTATAGCGAGTAAGACGGATATCTAACTGTCTCGTAGCGTCGTCCGTAATCGTTAGTATATACCTATTTCCTCCTAAGGTACTATACTTATACTAATCTTAAAAATCGATATATACTCTATCTAGGTACTTATCTGCCTTTTTAGGTTCTTCTCGACTTTATTATCTATTAAACTTCGTAGTAATATAAGTCTTATAAGACTTACTTAACGTCGAAAGCTCTAGGACTCCTAGTAGTACTTTATATATATTACGTTGTTTTTCGTCTTTAGGATATTCTAAGCGTCGATATTAAAGTAGCGTAATATCTTTAGTTATAGCAGTAGCTACTCTCGAAGTCCCGATTAATCCGGATTTCTTTAGAATATAAGATCTTCCGACGTATACTCCTTTTGCTAGTTCTTCGTTTCCTCTTTAAAGTAGAGCTTCTTTTTTAGTAAATAGAGTCGTAATACCTCGTTATAAGAGTTAGCTTATCGAAAGCAAGTTACAGCTAATCTCGGGTATATATATAACGTCTAGAATCGTAGTCGGAATTCCCTTAAACCGGACGAGGATTATACCGGATCCCGCGACCTTTATCGTTTTACCGTTCGTTAGAGTAACTTTTCCGGTTTCTTCCTTATAGTCCGTAAAGTAGTTCTTATCGTTAGATATATGTCTAGTATATCCGGAGTCTAGGATCTAATCCCTTTTATTAGAAAGTCGAGTTATAGAATCGATAGCCGTCTAAGCCGCGATCTTTAATTCCTCCTTATTATTTTCTTAGATTTTTCCGTTCTTTAAGTCCTATTTATAGTCTGTGCTCTCGGTTATCTCGGTTCTAAATTGATACCTAAGGCAAGCTAAGTCTTAGCGAAGCGCCTAAACTCAAAACGTTGAAAACGGACACTATACTCCCGAGAACATAGATTTAGACATTAAATAGTACAACAACTAGAGGTCTAAGCGTATTACATGTATAAAGGGGGTTCTAGAAGGCACGTAAGTAAATGATTTGGGCGTGTTACGTAAAAAAAATATATAGAACTGCGACCTGTAGAAAAATAAGACTGTTTTTACGAAGGGACAGTTATATAAGCTCGCGTTTATCGTATAAATACCTATATTAGACAATCTACCAATACTCGTATCTGCTATTTGAAATATATAATCCCCTTAAGAAAGACCTGCTCTATCACCTCTAAGTGTTTTTAAATGCGTGTCTTACGCTTTACTTAGTCTATATACCTTAGCTTATAACTAGCCTATACGCCTCTTATTTCCGCCTATAAAGCCGCGCTCTTGTCTCCTATTACTAGAACCTTCGCAAACACTCTACTAAGTATCGCGTAATACTGCTAGACCTTTATCAAGTCCTAAACACTTTAAACAAGCATTACTAAAGCCTCCGCCTATATCAATCTCCGCCGCTACTAAGAGCGATACTCGAGTACTACTATACATCTTCCGATAATATATCTTCCGATACCGCCGACCCTTACAAACACGCTATATTAGTCCGTATAACTATAACAAGCCCGCTATGCCCGGCGAATACTTAAATATATCGAAGCGCTAGTAGAAAGCGGTAAAGGTTGCTACTAGTCGCGGTCGTAGTAGTAGTCGCGGTTAGCTAACTTATCGTAGATTAGGTCGCGGCGGCAGCGGCGTTAGTGCTACTAGCCTATCGCGTTAAGAAGATTAGCTAATATATCAACCTCGAGCGCCTACGGTTTATCGTAGCCCTATTATACGCGAAGAGCTAATATAGACGTACGATCTATCTCCTATATTGCCTGCTATCGATGCTTTAGTATAAGAGTAGGATGCTTACTTTAGTGTCGCCTATACTATAATTAAGAACGAGGATACGCTACTTTAATAGGTTTAGTAGCTAGTCTAGAATGCCGGCTAGTATAAGGCCGCCTTAGTATACTATCGCTAGATTATCCGCTACGGTCTTCGCAAGGTCTTAAGACTACTATATCCTTCGCGCGACTCTAAGCCCTCCGACCTACAGATTATAGTAGTTCTCGCCTTAATCTTCGGTTAATAGGATATGCTTATAATCGCTCGTACTAGCGTAGGCAAGGCATTAGTCTTTTAGGCCTTTACCCTCCTAACTAGTATAATAACTCTCTAGATTGTGCCTCTAACCCGGATTGTAGAAGAATAGGGTACGGATATAGAGCAGGCTATACGCTAGCTCCGTCTAGAAGAATACGCACTTGTTAGTATA